TCCCTGCCTCGCCTCGGTTGGATCTCAGGTGGGTATCATTGGCGAGGGGTGCGGGGTGAGGTTGTTACCTCTGCACCACATTGCTTTATCATCCTTCTTAATCGAGGCGTTTACTAACACCTGGTTATTGGCTATTCATGCCCGTGCCACCTCTTGGCTAGCTTAATCTTTATCAATCTAACACCTGGCTAAGCTCCACCGCGGCTAACCTATCTTGAGGTGTTTCCAGGGCTTAGCGTCCCCGCGGCCCGGTCGTCGACCAGGCCTCGACCAGACCTAGAGTTCAGTCTGCCAATGTATTTATCCAACACTATTTTCTCAGGGTATGAAACAATTTTTTTTCGAAAGTACCTCTTCCGCTTAAGTACCCCTCCCCCTCCGGAAGCTTAATTAAATAAGGCAAGCTCCTACGTACCTGGTTAAGCGCCACTGGATTGTTATGTTAGTAAACGCCTTAATTGCACTTCATTCCAAAAGCCTGATTGTAATGAAATTGTGGGAAGTCGCTGGTTAAGCAGAATATTCAATGATGATCTCAATCAATTTCTTATTTATTCTGTCTGATATTGATATTATGATACTTCATAAATAGATGCTCTTACAGGAGTCAATTATAACTGCAATATACAAGCAACCGTAAGTAAGTAATAGGTATACAACTTAAGTAAAACTTGATAACCATAAGAACGCGAGATAAACATTATTTTGAATTTGCTCATTTATTGTGCACCCCCCTAGCCATCCCGCGGGTGGTAGTAGAAAATGTTGAGAGGCACACAGTGGGCTCAGGAACTGAACTCCAAGTTTGTAAGAAGAGCTAGAAGATGAGCAGATTGTTAGGTGTCGCTGCAGCTCAGTTTTATTGTTGCCTTAAACTTAGCAGTAATATAGGGGCTGTTTTTCTATTTTTACTAGAGACATTTTCAGTAGTGTATCAGATATAACGCATTGCCATAAACTCTAGCCAAATAACCTGACTTTGCCCGTTTAGAATTAGTAAGATTTACATATTCACAGTCAAAATGGTTGATATTGTGACCGATGCCCATAAATATTTCTGGTAAGAATATTATTAGAAATGCGCAATATATGTGCATATTTATAAATTTTAAAGATGCGGACCGGTTATAGGTGTTTATAACAGTACTGATGATGATTTGCTGATGATTTTCGAGCAGTTTTGTATATGGCAAAAGGTACCAGAGCGTTACATAAATCCATATTATGAGTTTAACTGTATATTACAGGTATACAAATTTGCAAGAACCAATGTTAAAGCTTAAAATTTGGTTAACTAATATATGTTCGAATACTTATCCCCCCCCCCCCCCCCCCCCCCCCCCCCCCCCCCCCCCCCCCCCGCCGGACCCACTTGTTGCTCGCTTGCTGACCAAGATGCTCTCTCCTATTCACTTCTTATTGTGTGTCTGATAATTGTCCCTATGCCCTTTGAAATATCATCTAAATCAATTGATTAATCAAATTGGTGCCGTAGATTGTCATCGGTGTTTCTTTTCCGAGATTTTTGGAGGTGGGGGACTTACTTAAGTCTGTCGTGCGTGTTGGGGTCAGCAAGGTGTGGGGAAATAGGGAATGGTCAACCCATCCTCCTAAGGTGACAGTACTTGTGGTAACTATTTTGTCAAAAGTACCACTGTGTACTTTCTTTTACTTTACTTTTGGTAAAAGTTCTTGTACTTTACACTTTCTTTGGTGATGGAGCACTAGAAAGTTGACTTTGTGTTATTGGATTTGGGCAAACCGGAAGCTTTTTAAATTAACAAGATAAGGTCCAACATCTTACGCCTAATATAGTACATGTGTGCTATAGTAGGTATAAGAATATTTAAGTTTGGTTTGTAGTTTTAGTTTTCTGGACTCTATAGAAATTATAGTAACCCCACCAAGATAATAGTACAGAAAGTGGTTTACTGGTTGTCCATCACTACATATCGGTCCACAGAATTACCCAAATCTACCCAAATCCTGCTAGCATTACGTAAGTAATGAATAAATATGGTATATTTACTCACTATAATGCTGAATGCAGAATATGATCAAATCTATTTTTACTCAGAAATAATCTGTAGAAGTAAATAAATAGCAGGGAACGCCATAGGAAATCAACGGTCCAAGTGACAATGTTGTAGAGTGACTTATTATCCAAGATATATGGTCGCCTGGAGAGTGTTTGCTGGCATATCAGCTTCCTGTACACAGTGATCCAGTCGTCTCACTAATTTGCTCAAATTGTCGCACATTTAGGTAAGGTTCGTTTGGGTTAGGTAATGTTAGAGGCAACTTTTCAAACCCATTGGCAATATATCTTGGTTAAGTCGCTCCACAACATTATCACTTGGACCCTCGACTTCCTATGGCGTTACCTGCTATTTATTTATTTCTAATTTCGTTATGAAATTAGATTATTTCCGAGTAAAAATAGATTTGATCATATTCTGCATTCGGCACCAACATTATAGTGAGTAAATATACCATATTTTCTCATTACTTACGTAATGCTAGCAGGATTTGGGTAATTCTATGGACTCCTATATATTGGTACTTTCGACTAAACAGTTACTATAATACTATAAATATAAGTATATCTTAGGAAGATGGGTTGGAATAGGACAATGTGTTGGGTGCATGGTGTGCAAGTTTTCAAGTGGTGGCTAGCAAGCTTTCACAGTGTGGCAATGTGTTTTATGGACACGTAACCTTCCCGGAGGAAAAACTGCGTGAAAGTAAGGAAAGTGGGATGGAGAGCTGTCAGTGCCATCTGTTATCCACCACCTGCTAGTGTGGGCAAGGCACGCCTTCAATGTTGTATGGCTTTAGTCTCCACTATTTATGTGACTGAGGGTTACTGCCATGTTCGCCTAAATGTTGTCGGTCCTCTCTCCAGTGCACCGCCTTTACGTGGTGAGGGAAAAGTGTACTGTATACCTTCATCAGAGGTTCACGGTTGTTCAACGTCCTACCAGAGACTATCAGAAATATTGCCAGAACAACTGTGGACATCTTCAAGAGAAAACTAGACCATTTTCTCCAAGGAGTGCCGGACCAACCGGGCTGTGGTGGGTATGTGGGCCTGCGGGCCGCTCCAAGCAACAGCCTGGTGGACCAAACTCTCACAAGTCAAACTTGGCCTCGGGCTGGGCTTGGGGAGTAGAACAATTCCCAGAACCCCATCAACCAGGTACCTGTAGTCAGTTTTGAGACTTCTTCCACTCTCCAAGCTCGGATTGGGGCTAGGCTTATTTGGTTATGTCTGCTCTCCTGGTGAAGCTAGGAGTGTGTGATTTATGAAGTCCTCTTTCTATCCAAAGAATGAGAGACCACCTGTGGTGATACTCTAAAGACCATAGGGGCCCTGCTCTTAATAGCCTCAGGTTGAACCCTTTCAAGTTATTTCCTGACAGGAATTTTACTGAAATAATTTTTCTGCATTTTTGAGTGTCTTTGGAAAGATTTAAAGGAATTAGTTAAAAATTGGCAAGGGTAACTTAAGGCAGTCCTTAAAACTTACATTTTTTCATGGCTGAAATTTCCTTGTGGTTGTTTTTAACTGTAGAAGGAAGCCATTCTACTGGCTGAATGATAGGAAGAATTGTTCCATCCTATATTTTTCACAGATTCTCACTTTATCTATTCATAACTCCACATGATGGCCACTTATAAAAATTGAAAGAATAAGTTTTAAAACAGGTTTGCGCAGCAGTATACATACATTGACTGCCAGCTCTCGGTTAATTGAAGATGATGGATAAGTGGTGCTCACGTGTCTCCCAGACCTTGCTAGATATATGAATGTATGTTAACACATGTCCATGCTAAAAATATTAATACTTTAAATTCATGTACAAATCAGTGTTTATATAATTTAAATGATTAAAAACTAGGTGAAAGTAAAATAAAAATTTACTCCTGTTTTCCCATGGAGAAGTACAAATTATAACCCATTTAGACTGGGATTATTTACCACAGGTTGAGAACCCCTTATTAAGTATTAATAAAACTGGGGTGACAGCCACCTGTTGGAGTCGAGCCTAGATTAGATTGCATTGAAACAAAAATTAATGAAGTGTGTTAGTGACGATTTAATATAAAGTATTTGTGTGTGTGTGTGTGTACAGTATGTATGTATGTGTGTGTGTGTGTGTGTATATATATATATATATATATATATATATATATATATATATATATATATATATATATATATATATATATATATATATATATATATATATATATAAATAATATACTCACTCACTCTCTCACACTCACTCACTCTCTCACACTCACTCACTCTCTCACACTCACTCACTCTCTCACACTCACTCACTCTCTCACACTCACTCACTCTCTCACACTCACTCACTCACTCTCTCACACTCACTCACTCACTCTCTCACACTCACTCACTCACTCTCTCACACTCACTCACTCACTCTCTCACACTCACTCACTCACTCTCTCACACTCACTCACTCACTCTCTCACACTCACTCACTCTCTCACTCTCTCACACTCACTCACTCTCTCACTCTCTCACACTCACTCACTCTCTCACTCTCTCACACTCACTCACTCTCTCACTCTCTCACACTCACTCACTCTCTCACTCTCTCACACTCACTCACTCTCTCACTCTCTCACACTCACTCACTCACTCTCTCACACTCACTCACTCTCTCACACTCACTCACTCTCTCACACTCACTCTCTCTCTCACACTCACTCTCTCACACTCACTCACTCTCTCACACTCACTCACTCTCTCTCACACTCACTCTCACACTCTCACACTCTCACTCTCACACTCTCACACTCTCACTCTCACACTCTCACTCTCACTCTCACACTCACTCTCACACTCACTCTCACACTCACTCTCTCACACTCTCACACTCACTCTCACTCTTATTCTATTATTATTATTTTAATTTACAGATACTGGTAAGTGTACTAAAATGTAACCTTTGGTGTTGTTGCAGGCGAAGCAGAGGGCGTCAGTGGCATGGATCGTCCAGAAGGCCCACAAGAACAAGGTTCCGACAGACCTCCATGACCCCTACTACCGTGATTATGAGGTGAGCTTACTCTCAGGGTCCTATCGTCGTGGACCTCTACATAACGACCACCCCACTTTCTCTATCTCCACCCATAGCCACCTCCAGCATACCCTCTACCTTCACCCACACACCCACAATACCACCCACAGCCACTACCACCACCATTACTACTTCAACCTATTGTTGGAAATGCAGAATAAGTTCAATGAAAAGTCAGTGTGCCATTACTACATTAGAAAACAGTGTGTCTACATCAGAGGTCCATGACAGTTCAACCTCCAACCGGTAAACATAAGAAATATTGCTGGAACACACGTCAAGACATTCATGAGTTAACAAATAGCCCCAGGAGTTATTGAACCAGTAAGGTTGGAAAGAAGATACTCATAAAATTTATTTGTGAATATTTATTTTTGTACATATGGGGAGTTAAATTAATGGACTGAGTTAATTTTATATTGATTAAATTTCAGGGAGCAGAACACCTTAAACCAGGCATTGTGCACAGGTTGGCCAATGCAGACCTATACTGCTCTGCATTGGCCAACATCTATGGTGACCCAAACTTCCACAATCTGAGCCACTGGAACATCATACAAGCCTTGGCTAGAAAGGGTGTCTATGTTGCTGAGCCCACTGACGTTGCCCTTACTGAGACCGTACTCATTCAGGTCACGCCCATCAAAATGGTACGTTCTTATTGACTTTTGAATAATCTACTTTACTAATTTTTTTTTTCCTCTTTATTTTAAGGAATATTTTTATTGTAATTTTTGTGTATAGCATTTTGTCAGTGAACTAAATTTATATTGATGTATGGTAGCTGTGGGCTTGGTTTACATGCATATGGAAGAAAAGAATAGATCCATATACTGTATGTTCTGAAATTGCATTACAGGCTAACCTATTACACAAAACAAATTGAGACTGATAAAATGTGCAGTAAATGCACACCATCATGTGCAGTATGTGCACCTGAATACGTGCAGTGCATGCACATGCACGTATTGTGTATGTGCACCTGCAAATACGTGCAGTAATGTAGCTCTGCATTATATTTATGCAACATAAATTTTCTTAACCATTATTTAGTGTATAATGACTATCAAATTTACATATTTCTACTTAAAATGTAGAGTACAAATTTAAAGTAACTGGTTTTATAATGTGTGTTTTGTAATACTGTTACCAGTCTGCTCACTTGGCTGTGATAGAAGCAATGATGGCACTGTACATTAGAGAGGTGGTGGTAGCAGATCGAGCAGTGACTGTATTACAGCGTGTCAGTGGTGGAATGATGCCTGACCGCATCCCTCAGGACCAAGAAGAAGCTCTTGTGCTGTGGATCAGTCATGTCACACAAGCCTTGCAAGAGCGAATACATCAACAGGTTCAATCTCAGGTTAGTTTTGACATAATGTTGTTGCTCTATCAGATGTTTAATATTCCAGAGGATTTATAAATAAGACTGTTGTATCCCAGGAACTGCACAAGTAAGGCAATTTTCTTTCCACATTTAGCAGAGGTAACAAAACCTAAACATTTAAAATACTGTACAGTACTGTATTCTTAATTGGTGCTCATTGTTGCTCAGAAATATCTTGACAAAGATCTTTGTGAAATTGTTTGAAATTGCTGTGGCATACAATGTACTCTACAGTGTTTAGATGACTAGCTTATTTTAATATTTTATTTATTTTATCCGTTATTTTTTGAAAGAATGTGCTTTTAATAAAAATTGTCACTTTCCCTTGCAGTTTAAAATGCACATTTTTTGTGAATTGGCACAACTTCTCTGATGGAGAAAAGTCTTGGTCATTATGATTTGTACAATACAGACTGTGAAAATAAAGCATGGTTTTTAAATGGCTTTTATCATTGATATTGTATATCATTTAAAAAATAGAAAATGGGGATTTTATATTGGCACTTGGAATTTTAAAGTTAAAAGAAAGGCCAGCTTGTGTAGCCCACTGTAATGTGCTGTATTTAAGAATTATATGATAGTGACAAGACCTGCTCTGTGGAGAGGTGGTTTTGTAAGGGGAAGAGCATTATTTTGTATACAAGATATATTTTGTAGTGGAAGTGCTCTTATTGACTCTATAGTTTTTGTAGTGTAGGTAGTGCTTGAGTCTATATACTGTACTGATTTTTAAATGGACATAAATATTATATAGTATATTGAGCACTAATACTGTATAGTGGAAAAATGATTTTTAATACATTAGAGATGATGCTTTGTTTATGGGAAAAAAGTTTGTGCTTTTTTTTTTTTTAATAACCATATGTACATTTTCTTCTGTACTCCATGGCCAGGGTTAGAGATCTTTTAAACAGTGCTTAGTAGATCTGTTCAGTGTTTTATTGAACAATCAAGCACAGAAGAGGATTTTAGTGCTTTTAAAACTGTGCTAATGGACACAATTCTCTTGCTTATAATAGGTACAGTAATTTTAACTCTGTTCTGATATTGACTATTCTCGTTGACTTTAGAGCCCCAAGGATGACTCACATTGCCTCATTTTTATGGATGCTGTGCATCAGGTTTGGACAGAGTACTGTATTAAAGTGTGTCAAGACAGAAAATTAATCAATATAAAGATGTGATAAACTTAACACCTTTAGTGAGAGTCCTATGTTGGTTGTGAAACTGCTAGTGTCTGAGGGTGAGCATATTAATAACTGGGGAAACTGTCTTAATCACCATTCATTGATGAGTGAGTATGTAGTGTCTCATAACACCACCACCACGTTCCAGGACCAGGAGTTGCCTGTTTTCCCACGCATTCAAGACCTGAGTGACCTGAGTGATGGCATTGGCTTGGCTGCTCTCATAGCCTTCTACTGTCCCCAAGAACTTCCTTGGGGAGATATTGCCGTTGCTGATCCTCCATCCATTGCCGATTCACTATATAACATTAGTTTGGTAATCAGGTTTTGCCAAGAGAGTCTGCCATATAACCCTTGTCTCCTAACCAAAGAAGATATTGTATATATGCACAGGTAAGAGTTTTATATTTTTCTCATTAAATGGTGCCTCATTTGATGCATTATCAAATACTGTTTATAAATATTTTGATGTTTTATAACTGCATAAGAAGTCTTGAGTCTCTCTCTCTCAATAAATATTAAATATTTATTTAAAATGAGTGCAAGTTTATCTGTTTTGCACTTTTTTGGTAATCATTTTTAAATGTCAATTATATATGACTACAGTATTACTTAAATATTTGATTGCTTTAATTTTCAGCTCAGTGAAGCAGAATGTGCTGGCTTTTGCAGCAGAGCTATTTTTTCTTCTTGAGCTGGAACCTGTTTCATGCGTATCACTACCAGGTACTAAGAAGACCTCTACTAAATTTATCCAGCTCTCTTCCCCAGGTTTGTTTTGGTTGGTTGCCTACCTCTGTACAATTAATATCAATCGTATCCTTAATGGAAGGAACTTTGATCCAGAAAACATTGTGCGGAATTATTTTTCCAGTCATTGTATTCCTGGGAGTCGACACATGGTGCTAACAGCTTTGGCAGAGGTCAGGCATGGTTGTTACCTCCTAACCAGAATTTCAAACCACTTGTAACAATTTACTAATGCCATAGATTGTAGCAGCTAATGTCTAAAATTTTGATTGTTATATCAGAAACTAAGCACGGGTGGAACCTAATCCCTGCTCATTTTATGGCCGAGACTGAATCATTGCTGTAGTGCTGTTTTTTGTATTATTCCTGCTGTGGAATTAGCAAGGTAGAATAACCTTTCTTTATTTCTGTGTGAATGTTTCTCTTGTTTAATAAATTTTTATATAGTAAGAAAACATTTTAGATTACTGTACTTTCATGCTCTTATGAACTTACAGTAATTTTTTTAAATACATAACTTGACTCACTTTACTAGTAGAATTAAAAGTTTTAATTCTTGCTTTAAGAACCTCCGAGTATCGTTCACCATTTGCTTGCATATGTTTCGTTGCTTGCTGGTTGCACACTGCTTCTCTTGCTAGAGTAATGGGACATTGTTTTGCATATTTGTATGAACATTCTCACAACTGGTCTTCAAGTACTCAGTAAACTGATTCATTTTAATGATTCTCTGGATGCTGCAGTATCCAACAAGCATTACTGGTATGTATTATAAGAGGATGTTACCTAGTAGTACTAACAAATTATATTATATTTGTTATTCATTAGTCATGACAGCCTGGCTTCTAGTATTTTGCTATGTGGATGGTAAAAAGTGGGTCATATGGTATACTGTACAGGTGGTGGTGGGTGCAGCGGTTGGAGTGGGTACCAACGGAGCATGAAGGTCATCCCTGACCTCCGAGCGAGCCTCTCGCCCTCCTCGGCCCACTCCACCGCCTCCTCATATTCTTCTGCCCGGTCTTCCTCCCATTCACAGCAACGGTCACCCTATTCCACGCTGAGAGGTATACTAATCCTTATAGATATGCGTCCTGCATGGTCCCTACTCTTCTCCAGTAGTTATGTAGCTTTACCACTTAGGTATTATTAGATATAATTTGTTTCTGAATTGGGTATCGGTGTAAGCTTTGATCAAGTCAACCTTTTTAACTCATTAGCTTAAGAGCTATGATAATATATATTAACTTCATCAGATCCAAGTCATCAGTATGCTTCATTTTTGTAAGTGTAAGATAGCATTAATAGACCAGGATTAATGTTACTGTGTGGGGTGTTTGTGTGTGCACTAATGTATGTTTGTGCATGCATGTGCATACATAAGAAAATGACAAGCAGCAACATGGTCACAACATAAGATTTTTTCTAGGCATTTACAAAGTGAATAAAAACTAAATATTTACCATGAATAAGGATAGGATGAGAGAGTATGGTTAGAAATAGAAACTCAGATGAGCCTTAGGATGTAAGAAAGCACTTCTTCATTAGGCAAGTGGAATAAGCTAAAATAGGAAGGGAAATATTTGGGGCTGTTTCTGTATATAGAAAGAGTAGGTATGGTAAAAAGCAAGGTCAGTAGCCATTACAATAAGTGACTTCCAAAATGTAAACTTTTTAGTACGAGTAGTTGTAAAATGGGAAAGAATGGACATAAATTTGTTTAAAAAGTTGATGCATTGAATAATGGACAGTTAAAAGGTGGGCCCCAGCAGTTGAAAATTTTCTGCAGTCACATCTAGGTAAGCACACACATACCCACTCACAAATACGGTGAATTTTAAGATAGCCTTCAAGTACTGTACAGTACAGTGGAACCTCAGGTAACGAACATCCCCTCTTTATGAATTTTTCGTGTTACAAGCTCAGTTTCTTCGTAAAATTCTAATCAGTTTACGAGCTTTGCCACGCTTTGTAAGTTTGTCGATACCCCGTATGGGTCAACTGAGTGCATGGTTCCCGGTGGCATGGGTGACCGCGCTTCAGTTTACCAGTGCCTCCTGCCTAATGACGATCGTGTTTGAATTCTTGTAAAGAATTTAATTGTTTTTCAGCTTTTTTGTTTTTTAAACATAAAAGTAATTTTTATATACCACGCCATGGGTCCCAATAAAGTCGGTGGTAAGGTTCAACCTAAGAAAAGAGTTGTGAATAGAGACAGTAGAGGATGTCCCTCATTAAGAAAATGTGTGAAGTATGGGAAGAACTGCAAAGTTTTATTGAGAAAACTCACCTAGATAAAGTTGTAGCAGGCCATTGCATTGACCTTTTTAATGACAATGTAATGTCTCACTACAAAGAGGTGTTAAAACATAGGGAAAAACAAGTCTCTTTTTAGACAGATTCTTAGTAAGACAAGTAAGCAGTGATCCATAACCAGGTCCTTGTGGTATGCCTACAAAATGTAGAGTACCCTGGAAAAGTCATCACTGCTTGATGGTATAATGGAAGGGGATTCACCTTCCAAACACTAACATCTCTCCTCCTCCCCCATCCCACCCTCCTCACCATTTTCCATATGCCAACAAGTCAACAAGGGGAAAATTCGTTTCGGTTTGCAAATTTTCAGTTTACGTCCCGTCTCTGGGAACAAATTAAATTCGAAAACCAAGGTACCACTGTACTCTACTTGGATGGAGGAATGTTGAATTAAATTATTTACAACATGCATCAGACCTGAACTGGAATATGGAGCTATGGTATGGTATGGTGCCTGGACTTAAAGGAAACATTCAATATTGTCAGAAAAGTGCAAAAGTATGCATGTCAGGAATGATTAAAGCCTGGATTTGTTAAAATTGAAAGATTGAAGAAAATTGGGATGTGAGCATCACAATTTTGTATAGGTATATAAGAAAACAGACCAGAAAAGGTTTTTGAAACCAGAAGGAAGCAGACTTGGAGTTCATAGCTATAGACTATGAGAATAAAATAAAGGTGTAGAAAGGATAGAAGGAAGTTCTCTGTTACCAAAAGAATTGTCTAATGTATAGTTGGAATAAATTTGTGAAAGTAGTGCATGGTAAAGTACAGTAGTAATTTAGTTTTAAAATTGTTGGTAAAATACACAAGGAAGATACACCACAAGTATAGCTCTTTAAATATAAATATAAATGGGAAATAATTATATTTTTTAATAAATTAGTTAATGTCTGTACTAAAAGATTTACTCCAAAAAGCCAATCAGGAAAATTAAAAAATCATTATACAGTATTATATTAGGTATTTTAGCTATAAAGACATAAATTGGACAATTTACAAAGTGTGAAAGTGATGATAATGGGTTAATATATTTACAAATTAATTCTATATATATTTGCGTGTGTAATTCTATATATATTTGCGTGTGTGTGTGTGTGTGTGTAAACATACACATTTAGAAGATAATGTCATTCATCTTGGTATTAGAACTAAAAGAAAGGAATATGAAATTTGAGTGTGAGCGCTACTTGTATTTATATTTAAATTGTGTATGCTGTATTGAGTTGGCTTCAACCACTTAGTCTGCCTTGTTGCACTTACAGTACAGTATCTACAATTTAAGACTGAAGAAATTCTTTGACATATAGTACTGTACATATGATTGATTTGTGTTTCTGTTGTCAGTCCCCCCCCTTGATCTGTTCTTCTTCACTTTGAACATTGCTTCATTGTTTACTTTTAATTCCCCCTAGAATATTACGTCGTCATGTCGCCCTCCTGCTCCTACTTCTCCTCCAATGTGATGTGTGTGTGTACTTACCTATTTGTGCCTGGCAGATTGGGCATTGGCTCTTGGATCCCGATGTATGTATGTGTCTGTGTGTGTCTTCTGTGCATCCATACAAATGGGCAGAGGTGCAATTTCCAGTTATGTTGTACTTTTTATATTTTAAGGGCTATTAAAGTGGAGAAAATACCGTGTGTCAACTCGATTGATATAAATTTTAAATGCTCGTATCTCGGCATTTTAAAATTTAAATAGTAGAGATAGGAAATGTGTAATGTAATTGTGGTAATAGTTTGTATGGCAGAAAAAGGATTAGTGCATGGAAGTGTGTGTTTGTAGCTGAAATAGTACTTGTTTATTTGTAGTTGGATTTTTGTAGTTTAAAGAATTTCTCAATATAATTCCAGTGAAGATACTGTAAGTGCTAAAATAGTGATGATTATATGGAGGAGGTAAATGTCAATGGAGGACTTGAAGATACCTGATCATTCATGGTTATGATAGCATGCAGATTGCAAGTAGCAATAGCCTGGCTAATATTTACCAGGTTTACCTGAAAAACATGGCCCTTGATGCTTGGAGAGAACCTTTGTACTGGGTATTGTTCATCAACTAGAATTACACTTGTATGGTAGATACAGTTTTCAGGTATGAATCTAGTTTTGAAATGCTAAAGATAATGAATAAATATTCAGACTAGTTTCTTATTTTTAATGTAACAGAAAACATGGTTTTTTCTTGGCTCATTAAACAGCAGTTTTGAATTTGGAAAGGTCAAATGTAGTTTGAAATAAAGTTGTAAACACTAAGAAGATAACTGTTGGTGAAATACAATAATTGTGTGAAGAAGTTGTGGGTTGTAGTGGTTGTGCAAGTGGTGTTTTCACTACTCTGGCAGACGTGAGTACAAACAAGATACTTTAAAAGTGGCAGTTAAACATTTGGTCCTGCATTTAATTGACATTAACAAAACTCCTTAATTCTTAAGACATTACTGGGGAAATGGTGACTTGCTTTCCTTCTTCAATTAATAGTTACTGATCAACTAATATAATGGTTTATCTTACACAGTTGTTGTATACTCCACAGGTGTTAGCAACCTGAACTTTGTTACACAGTTGTTCTTTGCACATCATAATGTTCTTAATTCCTCTAGATTACATCTTGTATTAACTCTCAATTTACTCTCCTCTTTCTTCTTATCTGTAATGTTTGAAGTTTTCACTCCTGTATTCTCTTCAGACTTCTTTTTTTGCTTGTCCAGTATTGATGTACTGTACCCGTCTTGCATTAAGTATTGCAATTCAATGTGCAGTATTTCTGCTTAAAAACCCTGTGTTAATATTTCAATTGCACCATTTACAATTTTTGTGATTCATTTTCTAACCTAACCTTGATACTTGACACCAGTAGACACTGTAATATTGTTTATTAATGCATAGTTCTTGTACTTTGTTTTTTGTCAACTCTCATTTTGTTGTTTGATGATGTAATTGCATGATAATAATTACTTAATATCTACTTTTGCTAGTGGTATAGTTTTAAGAATTTTGTGATTTTTTCTAAATTAAAAGTTTATTCAATTCTTCTAGCTTTTTATGCATTTGGTGTCAGCTTCAATAAATATTTTAGCTTAAATTTTCGTACATTTGCAACAACTAAAGTATGGCTTTGAATGATGGGAGTACTGTATATGTATATACTAAAACTTGCTGATAAAATTAATAATGGTCATGAGTAGTTCAAATATATCTAATTCTGTTTTGATTACATGATCATTGGGAGTTAAATACTACAGAATATACTATGCTTGGTTGTGCTGCAAATGTTTGAGACTACTACTAGTTTTTGTTAAATTCTTGTGGTATATGTTGTGGGCTACTTAAATACTGTTCTTTTTCAGTATACATATTACACACACTATCTTCTGCATTTTTTTCTCTGTGTATGCTTTTTGCCTTTAGCTAAAAAAAAATAAAAAATATTTAAAATTTTCAGCTTTTTATCATAATTGATATAAACAAATACTGTACACACACAGAAAAAACTAAGAAGGCATACTACTTAAGTAGTAAATTAATGATTGATAAGTGCCTGTTGATGGTGCAATAGGTCGGGGAGGAGGCAAATCACCATCCTCAGGGGGAAGCGGATCGGGATCGGGAACAGGGACCGGGTTGAGACGACAGCAATCCCTGACGGAACGGGACCGGCTACGCAGAGATCGCGTCTCCGTCCATGAGGGTAATCATAGACCCATTTAAGTAATGTTTGCTGGAGATCCCTATCAGATTTAACATCTTTGGGATGTTGAGTACTGCATTTCACATAGCATTGGATTTCGTTTTACTTGTAAATTTGCTTGATGGTAATACAGCAAGACTAACAATTATAACTGCAATACTAATCTTATTGCATGCACCGTTTTAAGGAGTTTATTTAATTTGAATTAAAATTCCTTTGAAATAATATGAATTTAAGGAAATTATCAGAATGTCTAAAAATAATATTTATTTAGTGATTTAATTAAGCATCAGTTTAGTTGTTTGTGATGTGGGATGTATTTATACATAAATATATTTGTAAAGCGAGTTCATATATTGGGTTTAGAAGGAATATTAAACAAATGAGTTACCTGAAAGTAACCTATTAATATAATTTACTTGTGTAGGAAAAAATACTGTATATAAATATATACTGTGTAGGTGAGGGGTTCTAATATACCTTACACTGAACCTGCATTTCTTGTGCTGCTTTTGCTCCTAATGGTATGTTGAGAGAGATGTTCTCTGTACATAATAGCTTCATCCCTTACTATACTGTCTGTCACTGTTGATATGGAGCCAACTTTCTTATTGCCATAATGCTTTTATCTTGCACATTTATTTTAATTGGCTAGATGTCTCAATTATGTTAACTGGAACTCATCTGTTTGATAGTGTATTTACTAACTTTAGAGTGATATTTGCTGAAGTAATGACCTAATTAGGTAGTATATGTTGAACTAACAGTTTACCTTTTGGCCGTGGGCTGCAGGAGACGAAGAGGGGGCATGCGGGGGGTTCAACTGGGGGTCTATATACCCTCAATGGTGGTGGTCATGCAATCATGAGGTGACAGACCGGGACTGCATATACTGTTGGCGACAGTACCAGTCACAGCCCTTCGGTGATCAGTATTCATACTATCTGGCCTCAGCCCAGACCTGCCAGCCCACCCGGCAGGAACAGGCCCCTGCCGGTGGGCCAAGCTTTGGCAGAGGCTACCCACAGGGCCTCGGCTACAACATACCAGTTAGAGATGTCCCACTCTACCATCACCCACCCAGTCATGGCCTGTCACATGAACGTGTAAGGGCACGGGCCAGTCACCCAGCCCATTTACAGGATTATGGTAAAGTGTTCATCATAAACTTGGCACCCTTGTGGCACTCAGTTGTGTTGTGCTTAGTGGGGGGCCGGTAGCACTTTGCAGATACTCCATTTCATTTCCAAAAACATCTTTGGTTTTTTCATATAAATGGCTGCTGGTTGTTTTTATTAAAGTTTTCTTTTTGTTTCCTCTTTGTTTCAAAATGCATGTGTTGCAGCTTGTACAGTCTCTTGGACGAGTTTTAATAAAATCTGTCAACCGAGTCATATTCAGTATTTGCTGATTTTTAATAAAATTTAGAGGTTTAGAATTGTGGCTTTACATCAGATATTCTCAATGTTTTATGTTTATCATCATATGCAGTTTTAAGTTCTGAAATGCCCATGTTTTGACTTAGTAATCAAGGAATGTATTTGGTGAGTTGCAAATGCATAGTTTTGCTTCATTATGCAGGTATACTAGGCACAGTAAATATTTTTTTTTATGCATGGGAGCTTATTTCATTATCAATACTTGGTATTGCCAGCAGCCATTTATTAAATCACCTAAGAGTAATGTTTGTTGGAGATGTGATGTGTTGCTACCACACGTGATGGGCTGACATGACTGGTTGTTGGAGATGGTTATTACATGTATGAGCTACAAGGCCACAATCACCAAGTATTGATTATAGGAATTTGCTGTTCATACATACACACAGGGTTATCAAAACTGGTAGAGCCACACACATTCTCTGTGTATATATCTAGTTTGATTCATTGTGTGGAAGAAAGAGTGAATGCACGTGTGTGTACGTGCATGCATGTTTGTTTGTGCTCGCAGTGTTGGGCATGTGGCTTTAGAAAAAAGAGACTTATTACTACTGCTACAAAAAAACTTCCATGTTCTGTACTAAAATAGGTGTTGATTTTAAAATACAGCACCTCCATGACTATTGCTGCTGTATTGTTTTGCTTCAACATGGTCATAATATGATAAAAATACATGGTATGATTGTAGTAATAGTTATGTAACATTCTTTATATTACAATTTAATCTTTAATTATGATTTCCTATTTTAACACTTCCACGAAATGGCGTTTGAAAAAAAAACTTTACCCAAGTGAAATCACCATTTCGCCAATCGAGCGGCAACATTTAAAAGTGTATACTCTTTTGACTGTCCTGATGTCAATTTTCGATGTACGTATTTCATTTTTGTACCGATGTGCTCGCAATAGAATGTTCTAGAAGAACATAAGTTTAAAATGTCACCAAATTATAAATTAGATCAGCACCAAATAAAAAAACTACGTCGATGACTAGCCGTGAGCGCCAGACAGCAGCGAAATGTTTCTACTATCTTCAGGGTTGTCAACTCCACACTTGTCCTACAGGGTTAATTTTGGTATCACTGAAATCGCAATAAAATTCTCTACACGGACATATGCATATAAATATAAAATCAATGTCGCAACCGACCCACGAGTGTGGGAAGTGGCCGAAGTGTTACCCGCGGCGGCATATCAGCGAAACCGCATCGAAGTGTATATTCAATTCACTGTCCTGACATTATTTTTTGATGTACGTATTTCATTTTTGTACCAATGTGTTCGCAATAGAATGTTCTAGAAGAACATAAGTATAAAACGTCACATGAGGATGCGTTCCTTGAGGTGCTTCCAGGGCTTAGTGTCCCCGCGGCCCGGTCGTCGACCAGGCCTCCTGGTTGCTGGACTGATCAACCAGGCTGTTAGACGCGGCTCGACCATAAGTATAAAACGTCACATAAGGATGCGTTCAACCATAAGTATAAAACGTCACATAAGGATGGGTTCGACCGGCAACAAATATAAAAATTACGCCGATCATACTCGTCGTGTCAATAATACAATTGTTTTACCACGATGATTCACTGCCATGCCGTTCTCCCAAATAAACTCTTCGGCTATTAGAGAGAACGTAAATTTCATGGCGAACATTTCTAAACTATTCCCAAGTAGATCGGATCGAAATTGGAATTTATACGAATATTTATTCTCGTGACTCCCGTCAGAGTCAGCTTTGCGGAACCCGAACAAAACTTAGTGACGCGCTCGCGCGCCACTGAGTGGCGAAAGTGTTAAGTAAATATAGTATGCCGTTTTAATTTGCATAAATTGCTATCTTCTTCATACAGTACTTTGCCTCTATTTGTCGAGATAATACAAAATTATTCATATTTCAGATTACAGTGCAACTATTATTTACGTTTAATTCTTAGGTTCTGTTTTTGTTTATACCAAATTAAGGGTTTTCCATGGAAAGACTTAGATGGTGGAGTAATAGCCACAGTGTGGTGCTGTGATTGGTGCAGCATTAAATGGTGGAGTAATAGTTAGCCACAGTGTGGTGCTGTGATTGATGCAGCATTAGATGGTGGAGTAATAGTTAGCCACAGTGTGGTGCTGTGATTGATGCAGCATTAGATGGTGGAGTAATAGCTACAGCGTGGTGCTGTGATTGGTGCAGCATTAGATGGTGGAGTAATAGCTACAGCGTGGTGCTGTGATTGGTGCAGCATTAGATGGTGGAGTAATAGTTAGCCACAGTGTGGTGCTGTGATTGGTGCAGCATTAGATGGTGGAATAATAGTTAGCGACAGTGTGGTGCTGTGATTGATGCAGCATTAGATGGTGGAGTACTAGTTAGCGACAGTGTGGTGCTGTGATTGGTGCAGCATTAGATGGTGGAGTACTAGTTAGCCACAGTGTGGTGCTGTGATTGATGCAGCATTAAATGGTGGAGTAATAGTTAGCCACAGTGTGGTGCTGTGATTGGTGCAGCATTAATTGGTGGAGTAATAGTTAGCCAGTTAGCCACAGTGTGGTGCTGTGATTGGTGCAGCATTAAATGGTGGAGTAATAGCCACAGTGTGGTGCTGTGATTGGTGCAGCATTAGATAGTGGAGTAATAGCCACAGTGTGGTGCTGTGATTGGTGCAGCATTAGATGGTAGAGTAATAGTTAGCCACAGTGTGGTGCTGTGATTGGTGCAGCATTAGATAGTGGAGTAATAGCCACAGTGTGGTGCTGTGATTGGTGCAGCATTAGATGGTAGAGTAATAGTTAGCCACAGTGTGGTGCTGTGATTGGTGCAGCATTGCCACCACCTGGTTGCATCATGGGAGAGCATACCTGAGTCTCTGCCAGAACAAAAAAAAACTTGTTTAACTATGGACAGTGTTCATAATTTGACTCTTTTATATTATCAAGTGTGTATAACAATGCCTAATGTTACACCATTTTTCTAACAATTGCTATTGAGCAATAAAATGCAGTGCTGTCAAGGCATCATAAAAAAAAAGCTACTCCCAACTGTGCGTGTGTGTGTATATATGCATATTTTGTATGTGCATGTGTATGTGTACATGCACCCAATAATTTTTTGTGCAAGGGGGTCATGTACACATTATTGCACATAAATGTGTGCACATGCATATATTTTATGTACATGTGTATACACATTTGTGTATATGCGTGCATGCTTTTTAAGTCAGTATTTTGGTCAAGTTATGTGAAATCCACATTGCGTGCCTGGATTCATCCTCTGCATTTGTAGATGTTGTGCTGAAAATGATTGAAATAAAGTTCATGACATTTTTGATCCCAGTACGTTGCATATGGGAGTTGTGGTTTCTTTCATTATGATAACTTTCTTTCTCTCTGATGCTAGGCATGAAAACTGCTGGAGCTCCGAGTGTACGCCGCTCTCATTCCATGAATTTAAACGACATGGCTGACATTAGAACTAGGATTGAACAAAGAACGGAAAGATCCGAGAATGCACCATCCTCTTACAACAGTGATTATGGCGGCAGGGATAGGTGAGTGTTTTTTTTGCTTCAACAACATTAAGTAATCAGTATCATGTTTAGAAAATTGTTTGATTAATTAGCTCATTAAGTTAAAAGCAATAATTTACACAGCTGTAGATCAATATGCACAAGTGTGTTTTTATGGTGAAAGGACAGTTGTGTTCTTTATTGATATTTCAGAGTGCATAATGCTTTGTACACATGAAAATTTTACTCTTACCTTCCCAAAAATGGTAACTTGCACGCACAATAATTGTGGTTAAGTTATCATTAAACAATTTGATGTAATTGGTATTGTCCTCAAACGTTGATTTTTACCTTGTTGTACTTAATAATTTTCTTGTATGATTAAAATTTATTTATAAATATACACACATTCATGAATTATAAAATTCTAGAATTTATCAGAATTGTTGGCGAGCCCCTTAATATATACTTTATAGCACTTTGGACAGGTTTTAATTTTTATACATATATATATATATATATATATATATATATATATATATATATATATTTTATATATATATTTTATATATATATTTTATATATATATATTTTATATATATATTTTTATATATATATATTTTATATATATATATTTTATATATATATATTTTATATATATATTTTTATATATATATATTTTATATATATATATTTTATATATATATATTTTATATATATATATTTTATATATATATATTTTATATATATATATTTTATATATATATATTTTATATATATATATTTTATATATATATTTTATATATATATATTTTATATATATATATTTTATATATATATATTTTATATATATATATTTTATATATATATTTTATATATATATATTTTATATATATATATTTTATATATATATATTTTATATATATATATTTTATATATATATATTTTATATATATATATTTTATATATATATATATATATATATGTCGTACCTAGTAGCCAGAACTCACTTCTCAGCCTACTATGCAAGGCCCGATTTGCCTAATAAGCCAAGTTTTCGTGAATTAATGTTTTTTCGTCTACCTAACCTACCTAACCTAACCTAGCTTTTTTTGGCTACCTAACCTAACCTTACCTATATATATAGGTTAGGTTAGGTTAGGTAGGGTTGGTTAGGTTCGGTCATATATCTACGTTAATTTTAACTCCAATAAAAAAAATTGACCTCATACATAGTGAAAAGGGTAGCTTTATCATTTCATAAGAAAAAAATTATAGTAAATATATTAATTCAGGAAAACTTGGCTTATTAGGCAAATCGGGCCTTGAATAGTAGGCTGAGAAGTGAGTTCTGGCTACTAGGTACGACATATATATATATATATATATATATTTTAGTATATTTTGGTAGCAGTCTTTCCTGTAGACATATATTATTAAATATGACCGAAAAAGTAAGATTAATAATTCTAACACGAATTTTCTCAATCTTTCGTACATTACGCTTCACTGTTGGAGGTAAATAAAAAATCACTTCTCCAAAATTCATTTTTATTTCTAGTCTGACGCGACACGGGCGCGTTTCGTAAAACTTATTACATTTTCAAAGACTTCACAAATACACAACTGATTAGAACTTACGTCTCTCTGATATTATATCTACATTTGAGTGAGGTGGGAAGGGTGATGTGGCATTAACACAAGACAGAACAGGAGGGGATATTAATAGGGTATTAAAAGTATCAACACAAGACAGAACAGAAACAATGGGTATTGAATAGAAGTGTTTGTAGAAAGCCTATTGGTCCATATTTCTTGATGCTTCTATATTGGAGCGGAGTCTTGAGGTGGGTAGAATATAGTTGTGCAATAATTGGCTGTTGATTGCTGGTGTTGACTTCTTGATGTGTAGTGCCTCGCAAACGTCAAGCCGCCTGCTATCGCTGTATCTATCGATGATTTCTGTGTTGTTTACTAGGATTTCTCTGGCGATGGTTTGGTTATGGGAAGAGATTATATGTTCCTTAATGGAGCCCTGTTGCTTATGCATCGTTAAACGCCTAGAAAGAGATGTTGTTGTCTTGCCTATATACTGGGTTTTTTGGAGCTTACAGTCCCCAAGTGGGCATTTGAAGGCATAGACGACGTTAGTCTCTTTTAAAGCGTTCTGTTTTGTGTCTGGAGAGTTTCTCATGAGTAGGCTGGCCGTTTTTCTGGTTTTATAGTAAATCGTCAGTTGTAAATCTATGAACACTTCTATTCAATACCCATTGTTTCTGTTCTGTCTTGTGTTGATACTTTTAATACCCTATTAATATCCCCTCCTGTTCTGTCTTGTGTTAATGCCACATCACCCTTCCCACCTCACTCAAATGTAGATATAATATCAGAGAGACGTAAGTTCTAATCAGTTGTGTATTTGTGAAGTCTTTGAAAATGTAATAAGTTTTACGAAACGCGCCCGTGTCGCGTCAGACTAGAAATAAAAATGAATTTTGGAGAAGTGATTTTTGATTTACCTCCAACAGTGAAGCGTAATGTACGAAAGATTGAGAAAATTCGTGTTAGAATTATTAATCTTACTTTTTCGGTCATATTTAATAAATATATATATATATATATATATATATATATATATATATATATATATATATATATATATATATATATATATATATATATATATATATATATATAATTATTAAATATGACCGAAAAAGTAAGATTAATAATTCTAACACGAATTTTCTCAATCTTTCGTACATTATGCTTCACTGTTGGAGGTAAATCAAAAATCACTTCTCCAAAATTCATTTTTATTTCTAGTCTGACGCGACACGGGCGCGTTTCGTAAAACTTATTACATTTTCAAAGACTTCACAAATACACAACTGATTAGAACTTGCGTTTCCCTGATTTTATATCTACATTTGAGTGAGGTGGGAAGGGTGATGTGGCATTACATTTGAGTGAGGTGGGAAGGATGATGTGGCATTAACACAAGACAGAACACTAGAGGATATTAATAGGGTATTAAAAGTATCAACACAAGACAGAACAGAAACAATGGGTATTGAATAGAAGTGTTTGTAGAAAGCCTATTGGTCCATATTTCTTGATGCTTCTATATTGGAGCGGAGTCTTGAGGTGGGTAGAATATAGTTGTGCAATAATTGGCTGTTGATTGCTGGTGTTGACTTCTTGATGTGTAGTGCCTCGCAAACGTCAAGCCGCCTGCTATCGCTGTATCTATCGATGATTTCTGTGTTGTTTACTAGGATTTCTCTGGCGATGGTTTGGTTATGGGAAGAGATTATATGTTCCTTAATGGAGCCCTGTTGTTTATGCATCGTTAAACGCCTAGAAAGAGATGTTGTTGTCTTGCCTATATACTGGGTTTTTTGGAGCTTACAGTCCCCAAGTGGGCATTTGAAGGCATAGACGACGTTAGTCTCTTTTAAAGCGTTCTGTTTCGTGTCTGGAGAGTTTCTCATGAGTAGGCTGGCCGTTTTTCTGGTTTTATAGTAAATCGTCAGTTGTATCCTCTGATTTTTGTCTGTAGGGATAACGTTTCTATTAACAATATCTTTCAGGACCCTTTCCTCTGTTTTATGAGCTGTGGAAAAGAAGTTCCTGTAAAATAGTCTAATAGGGGGTATAGGTGTTGTGTTAGTTGTCTCTTCGGAGGTTGCATGGCTTTTCACTTTCCTTCTTATGATACCCTATTAATATCCTCTAGTGTTCTGTCTTGTGTTAATGCCACATCATCCTTCCCACCTCACTCAAATGTAATGCCACATCACCCTTCCCACCTCACTCAAATGTAGATATAAAATCAGGGAAACGCAAGTTCTAATCAGTTGTGTATTTGTGAAGTCTTTGAAAATGTAATAAGTTTTACGAAACGCGCCCGTGTCGCGTCAGACTAGAAATAAAAATGAATTTTGGAGAAGTGATTTTTGATTTACCTCCAACAGTGAAGCATAATGTACGAAAGATTGAGAAAATTCGTGTTAGAATTATTAATCTTACTTTTTCGGTCATATTTAATAATATATGTCTACAGGAAAGACTGCTACCAAAATATACTAATATATATATATATATATATATATATATATATATATATATATATATATATATATATATATATATATATATATATATATATATATATATATATATATATATATATATATATATATATATATATATATATATATATATATATATATATATATATATATATAAAATACAAATTCCATAGCTAGGGGGAAAACTGTCAGGTCTTTTGTGAAAGCAGGTGGGACCTTTGTTGTTGAGGCAGGCAGAAGCTTTGGCACGTAGTGTCTTGTTAGTTGTGGTGAGGAGACTTGTAGTGAAAAATACATCATTTGAGTGATTTTCACTATTGCTTATTTAAATGAGAGATTTATTAGCTAATAAAGATAATATAGGAATAAAATTCAGATTTAGGAGTTAAGCTGTGTCTGATGTTAAACACTTTAAGAGAGGCATTTCTCAAGATGGCATGGCTTCACGGAACACATGATGAGTGATGCAGAATATATTTGGCAGTGTTGTAGAGTGGAGCGGCTGGTCGTAGAAACATTGGGCTCTACATCTGTCAAAGAAAAGTGGAGTTTTAAATGATGGTGTATAAATGCATAATTTTATATAATTTTTAATGAAAGTATTTTGTGAAAGATAAAAACAAATGGTATAAAATTTGTCTGTGCATTGATGAGTGTGCAGTGAATATTGGCAAAGCTTTAATAGTTTAGATTTATTTTTCTCTTTAATGAGGTGGTGGTTGTGTGAAATGTAGGTCAAATCTGTCCTTAATCCACACTGTTTTTCAAAGAGCGAAGTACAGTTTAGAGATATAAAAGATAATATGTTTTTGAATAATTTGAGAAATAATAAATGTTAACTTGGCATTTTTTGTTTATTTCTTAGCTCAATGAGTGATGGCCAAGAAGGGGACTTTGTTGTACAGCGTTCTCGAGGGCTTGCTACACTCAGTGATATGATGCGCACACAGTCCCCACGGCCTTCACAGGATTTAGATCCACCATACTCCTCTAGATCTACTACCAAAGAAAAATATAACATGGACAGTAAAGAAGAAGAGTTGGGCGAAAGGAGTAGAGGGCTTGTGCGTCGTGGAAGCTTCAATAACTCTCATCCTGATCTCCCAGCTGCTGGAATGCCCTCTCGCTATGAGGAGCGACCTCATGGTCGTTCAAGATCTCGTCGAAATTCAATTAGTGCAGAAGACTCCCAGTTAACAATAGAAAATTTTGGTGGTAGTCAAGATAATTTAAATTATATTGCCAGAAACCCTGATAAAGAACCATTTGTACACACAGGTAGAAGGGAGAGTTCAAACTTGGAAGGGTCACAACTACGAGATACTCGAGAGGTTAGTGCGAGACCTGAATCCCGAAACAGTCGTGAACGTAGTGTTGAAAGACGGTTAGACTTCCATCGTGGCAGCATCGAGGAATTAGACAATCGTCTCGTAGATAAATTGGAAAGAGAAGCTCTGGAACGTGAGAAACGTGATTCTTCACAGTACACTAGCAAAGAAAGATTAATAGTTAGAGAACCTAGAAAAATTTCAGTGGAGGCTGTTGATTCGGGAAGTGAGAGTGATGTATCATTTGACAGAGAAAAGCAAATGGTTAAAGCTACTAGTTTTGCTGAGCTTTCTAAATTAAAAGAACAGCTTCCAGGCGGTATTAACATAATATACATGCAGTCAGATAAGGATGATTCTTCAAGGAGGAGTAGCAAAAGTTCAGAGAAGAAAACTACCTTTGCAGCTTTGCCCAATCAAACCACCTGGAAGCAACAAAGTGCCCAAAGTCACTCTGATGATAATAAATCTATTAGTGGTAAGTTTCTCTGCTTTCAAAAATACAGATAATACTTATGCATCAGTATTGTACAGTAGCAATAAAGCTGCTAGTTTATTTTAGGTAAATATGTGAAGATTTGTACCCTTAACCATTTATGTTGTTGCCATCTTATATAAATATTAAATAAATAATCCAGGGATTGTGCTCAATAAGTTTTTACTTCTGAAAACTTTTTTATAGCATTAAGCATCCCATAGAAGTGTGCTACAGAAATACAAAATTATTGGAATTTAAATATGCATTTGAAACAAATATGTGCAGAGTGACAAATTTTTATTATTCTGCCATTTTGATATCTAGATGAGTGCTTTTATTTAAATATTTTATTTTTTATATTTTCATTTGTTTATGCTTTTCAGTAATCTTGCTTATTCTTGTGTAGGTTGACATTCTCTTTACAGTATACTGTATTGTGCCCATCTTCCCCCCCCCCCCTCCACTTCTGGAGGGGGAGGGAAGGAGAATGGTGTCTGACGGCTGAGGGGACAGCGCTTCTAATTCGTAGTCCTGAGGTTCCGGGTTCGATCCCCGGTGGAGACGGAAACAAATGGGCAAAGTTTCTTTCACCCTGATGACCCTGTTACCTAGCAGTAAATAGGTACCTGGTAGTTGGAAAGCTGCTACGGGCTGCTTCCTGGGGATATGTAACAAAAAGGAGGCCTGGTTGAGGGGATGCCAAGCCCCGAAATCATCTCAAGATAACCTCCCTCCCTCCCCCCCCCCCCAAAGACATGGCACACATTACTGCCCTAGTCTGTATGAGAACAAACACTACTTGTCTGTTTAAAGGTGCAAGTCCTTGTTGAAGATCGCCTCTAAAGATTTGCCATAACAATTATTTGTTTGTTGCAAATTATGTACAGTATATCATTTACAGATTCTGTTTTTTACTAACACATTTTCTTGGAGGTTTAGTTACACATATAAAAGCTAGCTTTAATTTGCATGGTGTTGTATTAGAGAATGCGTATATGATGGTATAGTACATGAATGAACACTTCGCTACCGAGTTTCAAGGTGTGTTGATTAGTGTGAACAATTTGCACAATTCTACTACCTTGATTTTGGTAGTTTGGCTTCTACATTCCCATTTTCAAGTTTTACAAAAATTTTGTATTTGTTTCTTGCATCATTTGCACATTCCATACATTCTGGATTTCATTATGTGCTGTATATGTGGCTGGAAAATGAAGGGAGCATAAAATAAAGTATTATTATTATAATTATTATTATTATTATTATTAAATAATAGAGTATTAGATATTTCATTAAGTAAAGAACTATAAAAAAAAAAGTAAATTTTAGTAGGTCTCGGTAACATAAATTTAGTTTTCAAATATTGTACCATTAAATTAGGTTTTTGTAGTGGACTTTATTTACATGGGTTTTTACAGGAACAAGTCAAAATCAAGCAATGGCTGTACTAATACACATGTTACAACCTCCAGTTGTGACAAGTGACCACAGTATCCAATATGTGCACTTCTAGCCCCAGATGTGTGTCAACTTACACTGGCCCTCCTCACTTATCAAGACTTATGTTTATTAGTCTGAAGAACACACATTTTTCAATGCTTTGATTGCCACTAAAGCTATTAAGAGTTGTATGTTTGTGACCTCGCGTGTTCAAATATAGATGCGTTTAGGGAGAGGATGGGTTGATATTATGATGCAATACTTCTTGGATACAATAGTAGAACAAAGGCAGGATTAAAGAAATAATAATCATCATTATTATTTAATTGCATTTAAGACCCCACAGCAATGCTTGAAACTATTTTTTTTTTTTTCCCCTTTCCTCTTACTACTTCTTCAGTAATAGGACTAACAATTGTTTATAAAATATTAATACTTGCCATATGCATAATATATATTATACAGTTTACATTACACAGGGAAGCAGCATTGGTAGTAATAGTACAATATAAATATGGGCAGATTTCTCCTGGACTCTTCTGCTGCAACCAGAATGTTACAAATGAAGTTTGATGTATTACATTTTTTCTCCAGACATTGCAATATTATTGCAAACAATTGAATACCATTGTGCACAAACTTTGACACAAATAATTTTTAGTACAGTACAATATATTTGTTAATAGTTTTATATTTTACCAATTTTGTTTGGCTCTAAATTTTTTGTCCAGCAAATGTGCTCTTCAGTTATTTTGCATTGCAACTGAATATAATGATTTTGCTTCCAGAACAGATTCCTTCTATTGCGCCTGCTTTTTCAGTGAATCGAGTTCTGTTCAAGCAGGTGTTCACAGCAATAATTATTGTTAAATTGCAGGAATGACAATAATAGGAAAGATAGACATGCCTCATTTAGTGCTGCTCTGTATCATGTTGATTCGTTATACAGCTCTTTGTTTTTGGAATGTATTTAAAAAAACTATAGTTAGTACAGGTTTAGTAATATACTGTGTGAATTTTTCTAAATGATGCTCGCGTGCGCACACATTATGAACTCATTCAGCTAATAAGTACTTATGTCAGCCAACACATTTTGTATAGCCTGGATCTGAAAATGTTAGTTCTATCCCTAATAACTCTTTCTAACTATAATTCATTGGTACTTGGGAGGGTATTGGTTTGTCCTACAGTGTAAGACAGTGGCTGTGTCTGGCTGACACGCACACACACGCACGCACACGCACACACGCAAAAACACACGCGCTCACGCACGCAAAAACACATGCGCTCACGCACGCAAAAACACACGCGCTCACGCACGCAAAAACACACGCGCTCACGCACGCAAAAACACACGCGCTCACGCACGCAAAAACACACGCGCTCACGTACGCACGCAAAAACACACACACACACGCGCGCGCACGCAAAAACACACGCGCGCGCGCACACAAAAACACGCGCACACAAGAAGACCTAAACAAACTGAAGGAATGGTCGAACAAATGGTTGTTAGAGTTTAACCCAACCAAATGTAATGTAATGAAGATAGGTGTAGGGAGCAGGAGGCCAGATACAAGGTATCATCTGGGAGAGGAAATTCTTCAGGAGTCAGAGAAAGAAAAAGACTTGGGAGTTGATATCACACCAAACCTGTCTCCTGCAGCCCATATCAAGAGGATAACATCAGCGGCATATGCCAGGCTGGCCAACATACGAACGGCATTCAGAAACTTGTGTAAAGAATCATTCAGAACTTTGTATACCACATATGTCAGGCCAATCCTGGAGTATGCAGCCCCAGCATGGAGTCCATATCTAGTCAAGGATAAGACTAAACTGGAAAAGGTTCAAAGGTTTGCCACCAGACTAGTACCTTAGCTGAGAGGTATGAGCTACGAGGAGAGACTACGGGAATTAAACCTCACTTCATTGGAAGACAGAAGAGTTAGGGGGGCCATGATCACCACATTCAAGATTCTCAAGGGAATTGACAGGGTAGATAAAGACATGCTATTTAACACAAGGAGCACATGCACTAGGGGACACAGGTGGAAACTGAGTGCCCAAATGAGCCACAGAGATTTTAGAAAGAACTTTTTTTTTTTAGTGTTAGAGTGGTTGACAAATGGAATGCATTAGGAAGTGATGTGGTAAAGGCTGACTCCATACACAGTTTGAAGTGTAGATATGATAGAGCCCAATTGGCTCAGGAACCTGTACACCTATTGATTGACAGTTGAGAGGCGGGACCAAAGAGCCAGAGCTCAACCCCCACAAGCACAATTAGGCGAGTACAATTCGGTGAGTACACACACACACACACACACACACACACACACACACACACCACACACACCACACACACACACACACACACACACACACACACACACACACACACACACACACAAAACAGAGATGCAGGGCCAGAAAACAGGATTGGTTCAACAGAAATTGTGAGAGGGCAAGAGACCAAAACACACAAAAATGGAATCAGTATAGGAAGAGGCCAAACCCCCAAACATACCAGCGATACAAAGATGCGAGAAACAACTATACAGCAGTAAGGAGAGAGGCAGAAAGAAATTTTGAAAAAGGGATAGCAGATAAATGTAAAACAGAACCGGGCCTATTCTACAAATTCATAAACAACAAATTGCAGGTAAAGGATAATATCCAGAGGTTGAAAATGGGAAACAAATTCACAGAAAATGAAAAGGAAATGTGTGAAACATTAAATGAAAAGTTCCAAAGTGTGTTTGTACAAAATGAAATCTTCAGAGAACCAGACACAATAAGAATTCCAGAGAACAACATAGAGCGGATAGAGGGGTCTAGAGATGAAGTGGAAAATATGCTAAAGGAGCTCGGGAAGAACAAAGCAGCTGGCCCAGATGGCGTTTCACCATGGGTTCTGAGAGAATGTGCATCTGAACTCAGCATTCCACTTCACCTGATCTTTCAGGCATCCCTGTGCACAGGAATCGTAGCAGACGTGTGGAAACAGGCTAACATAGTTCCAATCTACAAAAGTGGCAGCAGGGAAGACCCCCTCAATTATAGACCTGTATCATTGACAAGTGTAATAGTGAAAGTATTGGAAAAGCTAATCACAACTAAATGGGTAGAACACCTGGAGAGAAATGATATAATATCAGACAGACAGTATGGTTTTCGATCTGGAAGATCCTGTGTATCGAATTTACTCAGTTTCTATGATCGAGCCACAGAGATATTACAGGAAAGAGATGGTTGGGTTGACTGCATCTATCTGGACCTAAAAAAGGCTTTCGACAGAGTTCCACATAAGAGGTTGTTCTGGAAACTGGAAAATATTGGAGGGGTGACAGGTAAGCTTCTATCATGGATGAAAAATTTTCTGACTGATAGAAAAATGAGGGCAGTAATCAGAGGCAATGTATCGGAATGGAGAAATGTCACAAGTGGAGTACCACAGGGTTCAGTTCTTGCACCAGTGATGTTTATTGTGTACATAAATGATCTACCAGTTGGTATACAGAATTATATGAACATGTTTGCTGATGATGCTAAGATAA